TCATTTGTCACAACTTCAGTAACACACTTACCTCTTGTCCATGACAGTAGTCCCGGTATTTAATTTGGTTCTTGCCACAACATTAATAATCCTTGGTGTTATAGTGAATTCCAAAAGTTGTGCTCCCAGACTTTTAAATATCTCAAACTCCTGTAGAATCACCACACATTTTTGCATGCAGCCTTAGGTTTCCTATGTCCTTATAATTTTATAATTCAAGAGTTTCACATGCGCTATTGTTTTCTTAAAATGGCTCATTTTAAAACTCTTTGTCAGACTAATAATTTGTGGACCCCTAAAAATAATATTTGACACATTGACAGATCAGATTATTGTGAAATACCTGTGAACTGAGTTAGGTTAATGAGGTTACGACATCTACACTTCACTATAAAAAAAAAAGCGCTTTGGTCTTTTGCACATAATACCTGTTTAAAAAAACTTCATTTGATGTTTTGTAAGTTCATGTCACTCCTGATAACTGTAAATATGCTAAATGTATACTTTGAATCAGTAAACTAGATGTTTGTTTACATTATAATTCTTTTACAACAAGGACATGATTATTAAGTTTGCCTGCCAGATTTCAAGAATTTACACTGAACGGTTATTGAGTGTTTAAAGTTGGGCACGACTTCTGGAGTTCATAAATTTATAATAAAATAGAGGGCTCATTATAAATTACTAATCGGGATATAGACAGTTCATTTATTCACTTGTAATCAGGAAATAAAAAGTTTGTGGGATTGTATAATCATGGAGTAATTGGAGAATTAATTCATAATTATGCAGTAGACGAATTAGCATACATAATTTTGCAGATGTGTTGTAAGCATTTCAAAAATTGTCATTCCTGTAAAGGTTTCATGTTATTTACATATATTGTTTTGCTGTTAATTGCATTTATGGCAGTAACATTTTAAATACTATTTTGTAAAGATACACAAACTTTAATGATCATAAAGTAGAATAAATAATTTCTTAAACATCAAATTGTGTACAGGCACACAAATTGCTTAACTTTTAGTCATTTTCAAAGATCTGTAATATTTTATACTTTTATTTAACACTACCTTAATATATAGTGCATACTTATTGTTGTATAGTTATTTGTATATCCTTTACAGGGCATTGAAGAACTAGCCACAAAATATTTTGTTGGCCATTTAATTTTATTAGGCAATTTTAGGTTCTGGTTTGCCATTGCTTTCTTAATGGTCAGCTCTCAATACCATTGCGGAAGGCCATTCAGGGTGGTCTGCTGTCAAATCACCTGCAGCTGGAACCAAGCCGCTTACCTCTGAATGACAAAGCTGTTTTGCAACACACAAGCCACAGATATTTAGTACGTAGTCATTGGAGGTGAAGTTGTATCTACGAGGTGCGTTACCGGTGAGTCCATGGCCACTTTTCAGAGCACACGCACAAGAGGGAACAATTGATCAGACCCTGGAGTAACAGAATCGTCATGTACTGAATGCTCTGTGCTTTATTATAGCATAGTTCTGAATGATGAAATTACTTTAGTTGATAGTAAAGTAAGGATCCCTTTTCACGCCTTTATGAGCATCAGGCATATGGGAAGAGCACCCATTTTACACACCAATCGGCACTCAGTGGTGAATGTGGTAAGCACCCCGGCTGTCTTTACTTCCCCAGGACATACATCCTGGTACCCATTTTAGGCTGGGTCGACCTACGAGGCCCCATACCATGATAAAAATCCATACAGCCAGCTGTGGGTTTCGATCTCGGTTTCGTGTCGGACTCACAACGCCTAAGCCATGGACATTTGTTGATAGTTACTTATTGATATCGATATCTGTATATATTTTTGGTAAGCAAGGTCTCTGTGGCGAAGTGGGAAAGCTATTTGCCTCATGCTGAGAAGGTCATGGGTTTGTCTCTCAGCTGTGGTGTTTGGTTGACGTGGGCAGTGTTTTTAGATACCCTGAGGGATTGTTACCAGAGCTACAGTGTTTTCTGCTTTGTATGATGCTCTCAGCAGGTGGCTAGCTGTTCTGCAGAGACTGACCAACCCATGTGGGATAACACCAGTGCAGTGAAATTGATTCTCTTGACATTAACTTTGATGTAACAAATTGATTAAGGGATCCATGTTTACTCGTTCAGTTTGTGAACCATTGAACAAATGCAACTGTAGGTTGGTGTGCTGTGAGCTAAAAGAGGCAAGCAATGAACAGTGTCAGTATGGCACCCTTTTTTTTTTTTTTTAAACCAGATAATCGAAGGTTGATTTTAGAATAGCACTCGTATGTATGATGCGTTTTTTTGGTACTAAAGTCGATGAAGTTCATCAGTTTCCACAGAAAATTATTTTCAAATGCAATAATTTTGTCTCTATCCTTAGAAATTCCTTAAGACTAAACATATTACACTGATAAACACACAGTTGGAGATAGTGTTTAAAGTAATCACTGCCTGTGACTAGAAGTGGTAATAATAGTATCTATGTTCTCAGCAACCCTATTGCACAAGTACACTAACGTTGAGGTCGACCCACAGAAGAAAAGTGACAGGAAGGAGTTTGCTATAGCCAGGTACCATGCCTACTACAGTCCAAAGTGTGCCATCTGGTAAGAAAGCATGCCAGTTTGTCCTTTTGTGGAAAATATTTGATTTCTCTCTTTCCTCAAAGCCTGTCTTAGCTGGTAGTTTAAATTTGGGTCTTTAAAGGTTATAAAAATAAGATCCTGAGATTGTAGTTTTAGGTAAAGAAGTCTGCTTATATAATCATGGACTGAGTTAAGTGTTATGTTTCTTCATCTTGCATGATCACCAGAAGCACAGATCAGGCCTGGGTAGCTGTCTTGTCATCTTTTTTGCTAAACCATCCAGTTACCTTTTTGCCTTTCTCTTGCTTTTTTTTTATAAATTAGTTTTACCAGACTCATTCTACATTCTAGAGTCCACTTCTTCACACAAAATGTCAGGGAAAAAGCAAAACTAAGTCCTTTTTTCATCTGTCTTGAGGTGGACTGTCATTGTCACTAAGGGCTGTGTTTTATTAAATTATTTGTTACCCTATGGTTTAATAGTTACACATAATAGCCATGTCTGCTCTCTCTGTCTCTCTGTCTCTCTCTGTCTCTCTCTGTCTCTGTCTCTCTCTGTCTTTCTCTGTCTCTGTCTCTCTCTGTCTCTGTCTCTCTCTGTCTCTCTCTGTCTCTGTCTCTCTCTGTCTCTCTCTGTCTCTCTCTGTCTCTGTCTCTCTCTGTCTTTCTCTGTCTCTCTCTCTGTCTTTCTGTCTCTGTCTCTCTATCTCTCTCTCTTTCTCTCTCTCTCTCTCTCTCTCTCTCTCTCTCTCTCTCTCTATCTCTCTCTCTCTCTGTGCTGGCATGGGGGGGGGGGGGGGGGGATGGCTGTCCTATGTATCTGAACCACACAAAAAATGGTTACAGCTCAGAAAAATTGAAGTTCACTAATGTATCAGTACATTAGTAGAAGGAACACATCATACTCTAAGTTTCTATCTAGAAGCCCAGTGAACACAAGGTGCGCCGTTTATATGTTCCTTTTTCCTACCCCTTGGGCCTCTGTTGCTAAACTCTCGGGACTGACTGAGAGAAGTCAACATTATTAGAGCTAACAATCTACATTAGTATCACTAACATAAAAAAAAACAGTATCCGGCAGCAGAAACTTTAGCATTGTAGGACCACCTGTCAACATTAGTAAAAGTCAAAATTACTACATTAGTAGAACCAAGTCAAAATTAGAGCCATCAGTCAGTTTACATACGTAGCACCAACAGTCAAAATTGGTACATATAGGATATCATTTAACTGGTACTGAATGAACTAACAACGACAGTAACATTTATACAAGAGACAAAACTGCTGATATAGACAATTATTTCAGGCGAATGAAAGAAGAAGAAGAAGATTTAACTGGTGATACACATATTTGATGAACCGACAATACAGAAAATATATCGCATATTTATCTGGTAACTAAGACAAAATATGTATTACTTTGATACATTTTCATTTTCCATGTCACCCCGTGAGTAGCCTGATAAATGTTTCATATCACCCTGATAGTAGCCTAATATATTTTCCATGTCACCCTGATAGTAGCCTGAAATGTTTTCCATGTCACTCTGATAGTAGCCTGATATGTTTTCCATGTCACTCTAATAGTAGCCTGATATGTTTTCCATGTCACTCTGATAGTAGCCTGATATGTTTTCCATGTCACTCTGATAGTAGCCTGATATGTTTTCCATGTCACTCTGATAGTAGCCTGATATGTTTTCCATGTCACTCTAATAGTAGCCTGATATGTTTTCCATGTCACTCTAATAGTAGCCTGATATGTTTTCCATGTCACTCTGATAGTAGCCTGATATGTTTTCCATGTCACTCTGATAGTAGCCTGATATGTTTTCCATGTCACTCTGATAGTAGCCTGAAATGTTTTCCATGTCACTCTGATAGTAGCCTGATATGTTTTCCATGTCACTCTGATAGTAGCCTGAAATGTTTTCCATGTCACTATGATAGTAGCCTGATATGTTTTCCATGTCACTCTGATAGTAGCCTGATATGTTTTCCATGTCACTCTGATAGTAGCCTGAAATGTTTTCCATGTCACTCTGATAGTAGCCTGTTATGTTTTCCATGTCACTCTGATAGTAGCCTGATATGTTTTCCATGTCACTCTGATAGTAGCCTGATATATTTTCCATTTCACCCTGAAAGTAGCCTGAATTGTCAACTGCAAGTAAAATGCTTCATCTAGATACAGACATGTACAGTTTTTCATTGATTCTTTAGAACTAGCAGTCACTGATGATGTGTCCTAGTACAAAGCTGATCTGTCCCAGTGCAGAGCTGATTTGTCCCAGTTCAAAGCTGATTTGTCCCAGTTCAAAGCTAATTTGTCCCAGTACAAAGCTTTGTATTGTCCCAGTACAAAGCTTTGTCTCAATACATTGCTGGTTTGTTCCAGTACAAAGCTTTATCACACTAAAATGATTATCTCTCCCTGCGCAGTGCTGTTCTCTCCCCGTACAGTGCTGATTTCTCCCCGCGCAGTGCTGATCTCTCCCCGTGCAGTGCTGATCTCTCCCCGTGCAGTGCTGATCTCTCCCCGTGCAGTGCTGATCTCTCCCCGTGCAGTGCTGATCTCTCCCCGTGCAGTGCTGATTTCTCCCCATGCAAGGCTGATTTCTCCCCGTGCAGTGCTGATTTCTCCCCGTGCAGTGCTGATTTCTCCCCGTGCAGTGCTGATCTGTCCCCGCGCAAAGCTGATTTTTCTCAGTGCAATGCTTTATCTGCCCTGATACAAAGCTGATTTGTCCTGGTACAGTGGCAATCATCTTTGCACACAAGTGGTAACGGTACTTTATCTTCTGAAAACCTGACTTTACTGCCTCCAGTAACATGTCATTTTTTGGCCAGGTTGGTTGCCCATTTTGGGTTCATGAGCCACATTTGGAAGGGGATAGGAGAGGGGCAGGGGAGAGAATTAACCCACTGTCCCCACTTAACATGTCTTAAAAAGGGGCGGATTAGATTGTGTGTCGAAATGGAATGTGTTTGGCTTAAAAATGCAGATATCACAGCCAACTGGTCTATTAAACTGAGCACAGAAGAAAATGGCCAGATTGTCAGGACTGTTCATGCTAACATAAACATCCATTGAATGAAAAAGCTCCCTCAATTGGCCTGGCGATTCCGGAGTATGCAACATAAATTTATCACTTGTTTTTTGACTGCTTCAGAAAAGTCCTTGCTCATGTTCAGATGTATGACAAAATTTGTCACAGAATGTATTTGACTTAGTCCATACATGAGGACGATCACATAGTCTGGTATCTGGTAGGATAAAAATAACAGCCCCATTGCTATAGTTTGTGGAAAGGTGAAAATTAAATATGTTCCAAAGAGAACAACAAAAAACTTAAGGCTTCTCATTGCAGCCTTATAATTGTTCTCCAGCCTGATAGCTTCAGAGTCATTTTCATTTTGCAGTCTTCGTTTGTTTGCTGCCTTGTTATGTTGAAAAGCCAGGTGAGCAATCTTGGAGTAGCACACGAACACTGTAATGTAGTTTACAGAACTGATTACGATGCTGGCAATGTAATATTCTGACGGGGGATGCACTAGAATACACTTCTGGTGGTAAGTATCATCTGTGTAGAGAAAAGCAGGGAGAATGAGGTACACAAATCCCATCAGCCAGATAAAGGTTAGCCGTCGAAGGAGGTATGCTTTTGTCACGTTTGCAATGTAATAAAATGGATGAGCCATACACATAGCGGTCGATGGCAGCAAGGGCAATATGGGTACAAGACAAAACAACAGATGCATAAGAAATGCCAAGTGTAATGTTGTCAAGCAAGTTAATGGGGCCCATTTTTAGCAAAGGGGTGTAAAGAATTGATTGAGCTAAACCAGAAACACCCATAAGTCCATCAATGAGGGCACGGGAAACAATGAAAACACTGTTGCTTGTGTGAAATTTATGATTCTGCCAGATTGTTACTGTTGTTAGTGTGTTTAATAGCAACACAGTAGTGCTGAGAATGATTCCAATGTAGAATTGTTGATACTGACAGGGAAGCTTCAGCTTAAGAACTGTATTTGTTTGGTTCATTGTATCTGGTACCGACAAACTCTGTCTCTTGTGTTCTACCGATTGTAAACTCAGGCAGAAGGTCCTGATAGATTTACTACCTCTAGATTTGTCTTATTCTAGAATTTGAGTTTTGTTTAATAAATATATCTTATTTATATGTTGCTTTCTTGCTTTTGGCAGATGCAATCCAACTGAAAAAATAACAAAAGAAACGTAATTTTGCCTTTTGCCATTAAGGGTTAGGATGGAGGGGGGGGGGGGGAGGGGGAGGAACAGTTTTTGATCGATTGCTTGATAGGTAGCAATGGCTGTTATAATTCCAGGTGGATGTAGACTTGTCTTTGTCGTCAGTCATCTTCTCCTCTGGTATCCTCTTGCTTTGACGTTAAATCTTTTTCGGTGTAGCGCCTGAGTCGATTTTGGTTGTAACTGCATTTTAACGAGATGACCAAGCTATATGATCTTCTGCTAAATTTGGTGCAAGGTGTTTTCACAGTCTGTCTGACAAGTGTCATTTCTCGGTCTTAGATTAAGTTGGCAATTGGCAGCTTTCCTCCGGTATCTCAACTCATGGGTAATAATTTTACATAGGTTAGCCTAACAGGCAAATGCTGAGAAATATTCCAGCACCCATTTATTGATGCTGACATGAGGGCATGAGGCTAGAAGAAACTCTAGCAGTATTATTCACTGTTTTGTGTTAATGCAAATTCGCATAATAGCAACATGCCTGCTGCCACAGAACTGTTGGTGCCTTATGTGATTAGGTGCATGCAACTGCTGATTGGTCGTAACTGCTGCTTCCATTAACAAGGAACTATTATTCTAGTAGCAAACTGTTTGTGTTGGCACTTCTAACCACTATCTTTTGTATTTAATGCAAGTGTATGCTATGGCATTGCCGAGACTGCAGTCTGTTCACATTTTTTCACAAGGGACATTGATGGGTATTCACTGTATTTACCGGCACAGGAACAAAGCAATTATAGAGTGGCCTGTTTACCATGAAGTTGGAACTGCAATTCTTCTGTACAAATGCTGAGAATGATCCTCTTGTTAATTTGTCACAGAAACTTGTGGTTGCAAGAACCAGTGTCAGCATCTTTCACCTCCGTCGTCCTCCGAGTAAAAACTTTCTGAAAAGCAGTAAACATAATGTTTTCTAGTCATTATGTTTAAATCTTCCACCAATGTAGTCACTGACTGAGATAATGAACAAATGAATAGATACACTGACACTGTGCTGGAGATGAAGTAAATATAGTCCGCCCATGGAGCATAGACCGTCAGCCAGATCATGCCAAGCCTTCCTGTTATTTGCCCTCATGTGTGTATATTCATTCAATGTCCTCCCCATCTTTTTCACTTCAGTTTCCAATACTTTTCATGTGTCTTTGTTGCAATTTTCTATTTAAAACCCTGTGGGTTCCTTTTCTACCCTGTGGGTTCCAGTGTAAGGGCATTCTAGTTATAGTATCAGGTCTTCTTAGCGTGTGTCCTATCCAATACCTGTCTTTTCCTCACCTTTTGATTCAGTGGAAATTCTATCCCTAAGATCCAATTTAGTGATTTTAACATGCCTTTTAGTGATTAAAAATTGTGGCAATTTGGTAGACACTGTGGATATCATTGGTAGACACGGGGAATGTCATTGGCAATATAGAAAATAATGAAATATGTGAACAGTTAGTTCAGTAAGAAAACCCAGTTCAGATTTAAGGGAAATGAATGGGGAAAAGTGATAATTTTGTTTTAAAAAAAATCCAGTTATGCTGTCAGAGATTGTAATAAAACATTGGTTACAGTATTTGCCCCCCCCCCCCCCCCCCCTCTTTTCCCCTCTATGGCTTTTTCATTTTCTGGCCTTTTCTTTTCCTGTCTCCTCCCTCCACACCTCATCTCTCCCCAGTCTGAAACAAACCCACGACCTTCTGAGCATGAGGCAGATGGCTGAACCAATTAGCCTTGGAGACCTTTTCTCTCCCCCATCAAGCCCCAGTGAAAAAAAATGTCTGATCAACAGGTTGCTTTCCTCAGTTCCTACCTGTAAAATACCAAACAACCTAACTACTTACCAATATTTATGATCCACTGACTGAATCATAGTCCCCATCTGCTGAACAGAAACGCTGTCCACACAGATCAGGTGTAGTGTTAGGATTGTTTGCGCTACACACCCAGGGTCTGACACTAACAGTTTAATGGGATTTTCCTAATGAAAACTAAAATGTGCCCGCACTGCACTGCTGGCTATTGTATAAACAGTGGCTAGGCTTGTTAATCACCAAGCCTTTTGTACACAGCCATTGTCAGCTCCCATTAGGCTGATTTTTCTGGCCTGGTTTAAAGTGCATAAATGTATTCTTTTTTAAAGCTTTATTCTTTGAGAGATTGTTTGCTCCACCTTTGAGTTAACAGTTACAGAAATTGTTTGGGGCCAGGTGACAAACAGAAGCTTTTAAACATCTATGACAAATAGTTCCACTGGATAGATTTTTTAAAACTTTGCATTTAATTGTAATTGTTTTGCAGCAAAGTTGAGTTCGGTCAATCAGGGGCCGTCTCCACAATGAAGATTGGCTGTAATTGATTTCCAGCGCTATTTCAATCTGGATGTACACACTGACTACTTTTTGTCAGTCTGTTATCCTCCACTTATATCACTGTTTGCCTTGTTGGCATGCCCCTCCCCCTCTTCCCAGTATAGTAAAGTAAAGGACTCTCTTCCACGCCTTCAGGCGTATTTGGCATATATTTGGCGTACTTGGCATATATTTAGCGTATTTGGCATATATTTGGCATATATTTAGCGTATTTGGCATATATTTGGCGTATTTGTCATATATTTGGCGTATTTGGCATATATTTGGCGTATTTGGCATATAAGACCAATGGGCACTTGGTGGGTGATGTGGTCAACATCACGCCGGCCGCCTTTACTTCCAAGGACTACCACCTGATACCCACTCGAAGCTGGGTCAACCTAGGAGCCAAGGTCATTTTTGAAGAAAGCCCCCAACTCACTGACCTTTAGATCTGCCGGCGGGCGTCTAGCCACTACATCAGGGCGACCCCCCCCCCCCCCCTTTTTCCCACTTTAAGCGACCCTCTTCCATGCCTTAGCTGTATTGAGTTTATAGGGCTAGACCTATATTTTTTTTTTAGACCAAACTGCTTTTGGTAAGGGATGTGATCAGCATCTTGCTGGCCACCTTTACTTTCCAGGACTGTTACCTGGTACGCATTCAATGCTGGGTCGACCTTGGAGCCAAGGTCATTTTGGAAAAAAAATCAGGACTCTTTCAGGAACCGAACCCACGATCTTAAAATCTGCAGGCGAACATCTCCCTTTCCCAGTATGGTTTTGTTGAATACTATCTTGAACTCTTTCAGTCCCACATGGTACTAGCTACAGTCAGAGGAGCTAAAACATTCTTTAAATTAATGGTTATACTGCTTCTAAAGGGACCAAATATATAACCCTTGCAGAAAACAAGTGTCTTCAGAGTTCTTCTAGGCTCGTTCACTAAACATAAGATGTGAATACATAAAACCACTATTGGTATCCATGGATACCACCCATTTATGAATAGTGCAGCATTTGCAACATAGTCAATACGGTCAAAATATTTAATCCCCCCCCCCCCCCTCCCCTTTCAGCAACTCTTTTTTACTCTGTCTCTTAAGAACCTCTGCTTATAATTGTTTTGACGACCCCCTCTTCCTTTCCCTACCCACATCCAAGCTAGTTTTACTTAATATAATGACACCCTGACATCCAACATTTGTGCAGGCATGAGCACAGCAAATAGCATTAACTATACTCTTTAACAGGTCACTGTAGACATGGAAAAGAGACATTTATGAAGAATTGACCCCCGCTCGAAGTATTTTGTAGCTTCTCGGGACAACAGGGTTAACCCCTCAAGCTGACAGCCTTCCCTGTCCTACCGCCTCCCCTGTCCTACCGCCTCCCCTGTCCTACCACCTCCCCTGTCCTACCACCTCCCCTGTCCTACCACTTCCCTTGTCCTACAGCCTCCCCTGTCCTACAGCCTCCCCTGTCCTACCACCTCCCCTGTCCTACCACCTCCCCTGTCCTACCACCTCCCCTGTCCTACCACCTCCCCTGTCCTACCGCCTCTCCTGTCCTACCGCCTCCCCTGTCCTACAGCCTCCCCTGTCCTATAGCCTCCCCTGTCCTACCACCTCCCCTGTCCTACCGCCTCCCCTGTCCTACCGCCTCCCCTGTCCTATAACCTACTTTGTCCTACATCCTACAGCCTCCCCTGTCCTATAGCCTCCCCTGTCCTACAGCCTCCCCTGTCCTACAGCCTCCCCTGTCCTACAGCCTCCCCTGTCCTATAGCCTCCCCTGTCCTATAGCCTCCCCTGTCCTACAGCCTCCCCTGTTCTACAGCCTCCCCTGTTCTACAGCCTCCCCTGTTCTACAGCCTCCCCTGTTCTACAGCCTCCCCTGTCCTACAGCCTCTCCTGTCCTACAGTCTCCCCTGTCCTACAGCCTCTCCTGTCCTACAGCCTCCCCTGTCCTACAGCCTCTCCTGTCCTACAGCCTCTCCTGTCCTACAGCCTCTCCTGTCCTACAGCCTCCCCTGTCCTACAGCCTCTCCTGTCCTACAGCCTCCCCTATCCTACAGCCTCCCCTGTTCTACAGCCTCCCCTGTCCTATACTGCCCTAGAAAAAAGTTATACATGCAGTAAGCAGTTGGGAAAGTTGGTGGGGAGTAGAGGGAGAGAAGATGCTGGACAGTTTGACATCATAGCATGGAGGATCATCTCTATCAAAACTAATAGTAAGTACATTAGACATGATTACCAACACCACATGGCATGGACTTTAACTCTTTGAGTCCAAGGGGGTTTAGCATCATAGGCCAAAGGGGTGGTCAAGAGAAATGTAAAATCAGCGCATCTTGCGTTCATTGGACTTCTAGGTAGGAACCTTTGAACGTATGTGTTCCTTGGGACTAAAAGAGTTAAGAAGCGATGTCCATTTTGGTTTAAATCAAGTTTTACTTAAGCCTAGTTAACTAATGCTTTCTTTGTGTAAACATAATTTTGTTTCAGGTGTATGCCTATGCTCGGCGTGCCTCCTCCTGTGGATTCCACTTGATACCAGTTCCTTGCGACCCCTTTGCCTTGCCCTACACGGACAACTCAGATCCTCTCCGTGATCCCATATTTGTGGCTCTTAACATGGAAGCTTTTGGGCCTGATCTTTTCAAAGGTGAGACTTGTATGTGGTAAAGAAGATGGAGTTTTCATTTTATGTTGGAGAAATGTGTACATTTGTGTATGGGAGGAACATTTGTGCATTAGTTTATGATGGAGAAAAGTGTGTACATGTGTGTGTATGAGTAAATTTGTGGTGTACATTTGTGTATGGGAGGAAAATGTATGCATTAGTTTATGATGGAGAAAAGTGCGTACGTGCGTGCGTGTGTGGGTGGGGGTGTGTGGGGGGGGGGGGGGGGGGACACACACACATTGTGTACATCTGTGTGTGGGAGAAATAGTATTTTTATGGTTGCCTGTGTACATGTGTGTGTGCAGGAAATATGTACTTCTATGTATCTTCTTCTTTTGTCAATCTGCTTGTGCCGCTAGGCGTCGCAGTCTATCAGATGATCGGCAACCGAGCCAGGGCGCGCTCAGTCGCTTCATATGCCGTGATGTTATGAAGTCTCAAGTTGTCCGTGACTCCTTCAATCCATCTTCTTCTTGGTCTTCCCCTGCCTCTTGTTGTTTCGATTTTCATGTTGTATGCTCTTGATGCTGGCATCGTTGGTTCCATTCTCATTAGGTGACCAAACCATTTCATTCTTTGCTTCTCAATAAATTTAACGATGGGTATGGTTCCAATAGTTCTTGTAATCACATCGTTTCTCACTCGATCTCTTCTGGTTTTATTCGCAGCCATTCTCAAACATCTCATTTCACAGGTGGTTAGTCTTCTCTCATGTTCTTTTGTTAATGTCCAAGTCTGACATTGATAACCTAATGTCGGTATAAAGATTGTATTTATAATTTGTCTTTTTATCTCAGCTGGGACAGCAGGGTGTTTTAAAATTGGGGCAAGCTGGTATGCGACATTGTTGGCTTGTTGGATTCTTGCTTCGATCTCTCTGTCTATTTTACCATTGGATGTAAAGATACTTCCCAGGTATTTAAATTCTTGCACTTGTTTTAGGCTGTGATCTAGAATCTTTATGTCGATGGTCTGTTGCTCTCTACTTATGCTCATGACTTCTGTCTTTTCAGTATTGATCTTCATATGATGCTTGAGCCAACTGTCGTGTAGTAGGTTCATGTGGTCTTGCAGCTGTTTACTATCACTGTGAAATATGCATTGATCGTCGGCAATGAGCAGCTCATTGAAGTCCTCCTGTTTATCGACATCTGTTGGTGTTATGTCTTATTTTATTATTGTCCATAAATATTATGAAAAGTAAAGGTGATAATACACAACCTTGTCTTACTCCTGATGTTACTGGGAACCAGTCTGTGATGCCAGCTCTTGTTCTAATGGCGCTTTCACTTTGTCTATAAATAGCCCTAACACAATCTAAAATTGTTCCATTTATACCGTAGTTTTCAAGAACTTTCCATAATTAATTTCTGTTTACTCTATCGAAAGCTTTTTCTTGATCTATGAAAACGATGTTCATTTGATGTCTGTGTTCTATTGTCTTTTCGCTAACTTGCCTTAAAGCAAAAATAGCGTCAGTACACCCTCTTCCTTTCCTAAATCCGACCTGTGATGGGCTCAGGATCGGTTCTACAACGGATCTAATTCGTTGTTCCAGAATTTTGGCAAACATTTTTCCTACGTGGCTTAGAAGGGAGATGCCTCTGTAATTGTTACAATCTTGCTTATTGCCTTTTCTTTTCCAAATTGGGACTATAAGAGCTCTTTGCCAGTCTATTGGTACAGTTCTTTCATTGCAGGCTTTCCTAAATATGTGGAGTAGCCAGGTGATTCCAATTTCTCCACAAGCCTGTATTGCCTCGGCTGATATTCCATCAACACCTGATGCCTTATTTTTGGGACTGCATCTGATTGCTTCTCTGACTTCTTGTTCGATTATTGTAGGCTGTTCCTCGTTTGTACATCTGGGTGTGAATGGTACTGTTTCCTCATTTCCTGTTACATTCAGAAGAGTCTGAAAATATTCTTTCCACCTTTCTCTGATCTTGCCCTCCTCATGTATGGGTTTGCCTTGACTATCATTGACATATTCAGATGGCTGGAATGGTTCATCTCTAGTCCTCATTTTTGCAATGGTTTTGTAAAACTGTCTACTAGATTTAGCACAGATTTTGGTAAGATTTTCCCCATACATGATCCAGGATGTTTCCTTGGATTGTTTAATTTTTCTTGCAGATTGTCGCCTGGCAATTCTGTACTTGATATAATCGTCATCTGAGCGGGATCTTAGCCATTTCTTGTATTGCTCCTTTTTACATTTCACTGCTTGTTTTACTTTATCATTCCACCATGCTGTTTTTTCCCTGAACGTTCCTCCTGTGTATCTAATACCACAGAGTGTTGTTAGGCAGTTCAGAAGAGTGTTCTTAAATTTTTGCCACGCAGCTTCCACATTGTCACTTGATGTTATTAGCTCAGCCATCTTCGCCGTCATTTCTGCCTGTACTTTTGCTTGGTTGTCTAGATTGCTTAAGTGTCTTATGTCAATCATTGAGGTACGTACTGATGTTTTTGGTTTTTTGTTAATTGTTGCTTTGCTTAGATATACGATCAGCGGTCGATGGTCTGTATTTAAAGAGATGTTAGGAATTACTCTTGCGTCTTTTACTAAGCTTCTTCTCTTTTGTCGATTTAGTATGTAGTCCAACTGTGCGGCCTGGTCTTCTATGTATATTAGAAGCAAATGATACATTTATGTGCACGCAAATTTGTGTTTCAAGACATGTACTTATTTTACCCTGGACTGCGCACAGTCCCTTTCTATACCCATCATTTGCAGCTGTCTGGGTGCAGCTAGACATAATCTGTGACCTATTGTTAACCATGTACAGCAACATTTTTTGAGTGGCCAAATCTTCTGTGTCTCATTTGGAGTTGCAAATTGGTCAAATACTCTTTGTTTTAGAATTGCAAATTTTCTTTGTTTTAGAATTGCAAATTGGTAACATTTTCTTTGTTTTAGAATTGCAAATTGGTCAAATTTTCTTTGTTTTAGAAATGCAAATTGGTCAAATTTTCTTTGTTTTCTGTGTCATCGGTAAAATGTAACTTCACTGAAGACACGGCGAAAAATGTAAAAATAATTCATTCACATCATTTTCATCAGCAGTACGAGAGTTCCACCATAAAAAGATAGTGGGACCTCACCAGGTGATACTCCCAAAGATGTACTGCTGTTGAAAACCATACGAATGAATGAGTTTTTACATGTTTAATTGCGGATCTTTAATCACAGCGTTGTCTATGGAAATGAGACTATTCACCGCTGGCTTACAAAGACTGGTGAAGAGTAACATATATCCCATTTATTTTAAACACATAGCCATATTTGTGGCTCACCCTGTATGCATACCTCCTACCAGGAATTGTGTCGAATGATTTCATTCATTCACATGGCTACAGATGCTGCATGTTGTATTCAGTACTGATGGGATCCATATGGTGCTACCCCAGTGCTCATACTGGTCAGGGCCTACCTAGAGTTCTCCAGTCATCCTAGAAACTGGTTCCTAGGCAGGATCTTGGCCTGCATAGATAGGATCATTTTCTTTGAAGCTGGGATGTATCACCCTGAGAGAAGCGAGGCACCAATCCAAGCCTACATATAAATTAAGTCAGATCTGTAAAATGAATGGGTTCTGTATTATCTTACTCCGGATGATTTCACAGGACAGTCCAACATTTTAGAGGGTGGTAAAACTGGGTTTCTTGGCTTTCTGATGCTTTTAATGACCCCAAAACATTTAAACTTACCCTAACACCAACCCACGTATGTCCCACTAGTGTGAGAGGCTTAGGTCCCACGACTGCATGGAGCCTATCTGCCACCCCCTGAAATATTACGCTGTCCTGTGTCCCATGGATTTCCCCTGTTTATGGCAGAATATTATTAAAGCACCAATGAATGTACACCAACAAAGTCACCTCTTGAAACAAGGCCAAAGTCTAGAAGTGGGTAAACGGCTGCCAGAGTTTACAGCCAGGGTATGTGAAAGAGTTAATACTGATCAATTGTTTTGATTCATTGTTTTGTTTGTATTGTAGATTGCTCGGATGAGAGGAGGCAGGAGATCTTGTATACGATTCAAGATGCAATTGTCAAAAGGTATTGTTAGCGCCATTAAATAAAGGCTTGTTAGTACATGTCTTTAGGACTTTAAGGGTCTTCATTACAAATACACTGCCAAAAACTGCCAATTACTGCCTTTATCATACCACTTTTGCAGTGTAGGCAGGGGGGTGTCTTTAAGCTGGAGGATTTACGTCCGCATGGCTAGGGCTGTCGCCATGCCTGTGCAGGTGAGGTTTCATTTTGTCCCCGACAGAAAAAATCCCCAGCTTTAACGAGGATTCGAAACAGGTCTTCCGTTTGAGAGCTCAGCTTTCTAACCGTTAGGCCAACCACGCTTTACAAATACTCAACAACAAAATAACTAAGAATGGTGAGCATAGTAAATTGATTTGATTTGATTCAAGAACCGACATCACAGCCTTCGGGGCATTCCCATAAGCGCTCCGTCCCCATCTTCAGCAGCCAGCGAAGAGTTCCGATACTAATGGTGCCAGTAGCTTTCTGATTAAACGTCCGTCTTGCCTTTCCTCTGAGCCTTGAGCTTCTGCCAGAACCTCTCGTCACCCCCAACTGCATCAATCTCACCAGACTGGTAATCCATCTGCTCCTCCGCATTGTACACGCTCTCCCACAAGGCACTAACTACGTCTGCCCTATCATGTAGCAGTATTCCACCAAGTTGTGCAGAGCCAGCCAGTCTGTCCGCCTGTTCATTTCCCAACACACCAGCGTGACCCTGTGAAAAAATCCAGACAATACTCCTCACTCATGTCCTCCGCAGCGAAGCATGCCACTCTGCAAGAAGCATACCTGTTCTGATCTTCCTCAGCATGCTTCTGAATCAGTTACAATTACAATGTGTGTGTGTGTCGTGTTTGGTCACTTGTGGACTCTGTGGATGATTTGGTCACTTATGGACTGTGTGGATGATTTGGTCACTTATGGACTGTGTGGATGATTTGGTCACTTATGGACTCTGTGGATGATTGGGTCACTTATGGACTCTGTGGATGATTGGGTCACTTATGGACACTGTGGATGATTTGGTCACTTATGGACTGTGTGGATGGTTTGGTCAACATCCTGCTGGCTGTCTTTACTTTCCAAGACTCCACCTGGGTCCCATCGAAAGCTGGGCCAGTCTGTGAGCCAAGGTCATTTTTGTAAAGAATTCTGGCTCCATCAGGCCCTTAACCCCTGACCTTCCAATCTGCATGCGAGCATTTAGCCGCTACGCCACGGCAGCCCCCGGTACAGTACTGGTAAATTTAATAGGACAGCTACACAGGCTGACAATTTCTTATCAGCTGTCAGTACTGGTGGCAGAGCATTTATGGTTTATAACCGTGTGCAATGACGCTGGTTTAAATCTTCTTTTCTTTTTTTTTTTTTTTTAAGTTACACATAATTTAGAAAACTTATCTCTTTTTTTCCACGCTTGTAGTGCATCTGGCATATGATCAGAATTAGAACTCTTGGCTTGCTGCTGAAGATGGGGATGGAGCATTTATGGGAGTCCCCCGAGTGCTATCATGTCAGTTCTTAATTGAACAGTCATATGATGCTAGACTTGTAATTTTATAGACCAGTTGGCCCTCGATGAGGTCAACATCATCATGTCTGCTTTTCTGAAAATTTAAATATAGCGTGATTTGTTCATGGAATAAAAAAAATTTTTTTTTAACTTGTTGTGCTGCCTGCTTACAGTGTACCTGTAAAATTTGAGTTTCAGGCAACACGTTCTGTCAGGTTAAATATTTATTTATTCTTTATGGTTTGTTTGCTGATGCTGCAACTTGCTTTTGATACAGTTTGAGCTAAGACTTTTTACCAGATTTGTTAAATGTGAAATCTAAACTGGGTGCTTTATTAATATCCAACCCCAGATGACGTTACAGGACAGTCCAACATTTTAGAGGGTGGTAAGACTGGGTTTCCCGGTTTTCTGATACCTTTAACGACCCCAAAACATCAAGAACTGGCCCTAACCCAAACCCACCCGCGTCCCACAAGAGAGTGCAGCCTAGGTTCCACGACTGCATGCAGCTTATCTACCACCCCCAGTAATATGACTGCCCCGTGACCTGTGGATACTTTTAACGACCCCAAAACATCAAGAACTGGCCCTAACCCAAACCCACCCGCGTCCCACAAGAGAGTGCAGCCTAGGTTCCACGACTGCATGCAGCCTATCTACCACCCCTCGTAATATGACTGCCCCGTGACCTGTCGATTTCCCCTGGTTGGGGTAGGATATTAATAAAGCACCCTAAACTGTTGTATTTTCTCCTGTAGGTTTGGGTTCTTGCCCGCCAGCGTCCAAGTGCCGGACTCGGCCGTCATGCCAGAAGACGTGAAAAATCTCAACCACCAATACGTCCACTGCACCGTAGGAATGTTCATACTGATTCCAGAAAGCACCCCAGCTGGCCGAGCCACCACCGCCAAACCCATCAGCGGCTCAACGTCCAGTCCTCAACTTGTCGTTGAGACACCTGGCCAGAACAACAAATCGTTTTCTGACCTTCACAGACTGTACATTTCTCGCCAGGGCCGTCAGGGTCGGCCAGAATCTGTGGTCAACCAGGTTGGCTTTCTCTGGTCATGGAACTACATGTCTTCCCGCCGCTGGCGATCGGGCAACACCGGTGATGAATGTTTTCAGGATACAATGTTGGCCGATTTCAGGAAGTTTTGCTCTAACACGGACAATAGGTTGTGTGGGTTCTGGGAAAGTTTCAGGACCTCAGTGGATCTAGTGATTCCTTAACTGTGTTCAAGTGTGGACCGAGCATATGATGCTCCATTATTGTAACTAAAGCTTTGAAGCAGTTTGACTAGTCTTGTTTAAGTGTTAAATGTGTGTTTATAGATGCATGGTCTCACCAACATTCCAGACCTGCAGTTCCTGTCTCAACATAAATTATATATTCACTGCTGCGTCATACTTTGTTACTCTGGCAGTTCCTATCAGTTCTTATTCTTTCCTCAGTTCTTATTCTTTCCTCTCAGTTCGTATTCTTTCCTCAGTTCTTATTATTTCCTCTCAGTTCGTATTCTTTCCTCTCAGTTCGTATTCTTCCCTCTGTTCTTATTTTTCCCTTTGTCATTTTTCTTCCTTCAATGCTTAGTCTTCCCTCAGTTCTTGTTCTTCTCTATTCTTATGCTTGCCTCAGTTCTTTTTCTCCCCTCAGTTCTTCTTTCGTATTCTTCTGTGTTCCTAAATTTTTCCTCAGTTCACACTTTCCTCAGTTCTTATTCATGGATACTGTCTTGGTACTACCTGGCCAAGTTGTGTAACATCTTTGGAGGTTGAAAGGGAAATCAATGCGCCGTGTTTGTTTGCCAGCTAGGATTGAACTCTTGGAGTTGCAGTGGTATTAAAACCTTTAGACCACAGCCTGGAGTTAGATGTAGCCAGAAGTTTATTCTTGAAGCTTCAGTGGTATTGACACTTTCAGACCACAGCCTGATAGGGAACAACAAGATAGTGTCTTGCAGCTGTCTTTCTAATCGATGTGTCCATGACCTTGTCATCTATACAAAGTTTTAATTTTGTCAGTACAGTTGTATTACCCGATCTGCCCTTGGCTGAGCTGCTTTAAAAAAAAAATACCATTGTTCTGCTGTCAGTTTAGTGTGGGGCTACAGTTAGTCCATTGTGGATAGGTAGGGTACCGCAGGAATTATCACATTTTATGCATATCAGTTTTGAATGTATAAAATGTCTTTGATCTTCATAGGTAAAAGCTATCTCATTGTATATGCTTCCATCAGGATATAGATTTTTGAACATATTTGTTATTTTATGATTTGGGGGAGCAGTTTCTTTCTTCACTGTTTCTTCCTTTTTGTCTATAGTTTGGGCAGGTTAATCAATAGTGGCTGCAAGTTACTCTTGTATTGTCATTTTCATAATTTTAGATTGTATTTTGTGAAGCCATTGTGTTTTGTGAAGCCGTTGCGTTTTGTAAAGCCAAGTCCATTTTCTTACATTGATAACAGCACTAAATTATTCCTTGAACACTTCAAGATTATAATTGATTTATCTTTACGTGTATATTATTTGTTAAATTAACAAAGGCGGATAATTAGATGTGTATTTTACGTCTTTTTGTGGCAATTTCTCGTATCTTCCTATATGTAATTTTACCCTCTGAAAGCAGTTAAATGGATCTTTTTTTTTTTTGGCACTATATTAACGTTGTCTAATGAAAATTAATTTCAGGTTTCTCCATCATTTTAGACTAAAGCATTGTTACTGACTACCTACGTTTGGTTCTCAGATGCAGCTTGGTGTCCTTAACTGTACCTAGCAGGTGTGAGTTAGCATATGCCAGATAGTTTTTGACTGCTTTATTTGCTGGACATCTAAAGTTTTACTTTTGGGGGAAGGTATCTCTTTGGAACTAGTATGATCAGTCAGAAAACCTATGGCATCACTCGTGACACACCACACCAGAAAATATTTTTATTTTCTCGGAGGTAATGAGAAGAATTCACATTCGTGACCTAGTATATATATCATTTTGACATTTCACTTCTTGTGTAGCATTTATCATGGATTGCCTACATCTTAACTGGCGGGCAATACCACACTCCATTCACCGAATAAAGAAACATCTGTTTCTCTATTCTGCAAAAGGAGGTAGTAAACAAAATCTTGATGATCTGCAAACTTAGAAAGTATATACCGTGGATTACCTTGTCATGACTGAAGCTGACATAAATGACATTTCACAAATCTCAATCAGTATATAGAATTGATTGACTGAAGCTGCCATAAAAGACATAACACCGAATGAGAAAACATCTATTCTTTATTCTTTTGGAAAGAAGGTAGTAAAAGAAATCAAAATTTGTCAAGGTAAAACCACATTCTTGACATTTCACAAACCTAAATCAGTATATACCATTGACTTGACCGAAGCTGCCATAAAAGACAACACCAAATGAGGATACAACTATTCTGTGAAAGGAGGTAGCAAAAGAAATTCAAATTTATCAAGTATAAAAACATTCTTGTTTTTTCACAAACCTTTTATAGTATAGAGTATCTAACGATTGAAGCTGAGACATGAAAGAGGAACACCAAATGAGAAAACATCTTGTTCTGTTCTGTGAAAGGGAAGGTAGTGAGGACAGAATTTCCAGTTTGTGACCTAATTTATGTGAAACCTTGACATTTGATAAACCTAGTACAGTATATACCATGGATAACCTTTAACCTTCCCATGCCTGAAGCTGGCAGGCACAATGTGGTAATCAACTTGTGAATTTGAAGGCCAAACTCCATGTGGTGGCACTGTAGCAGCTTGTAGCAAAAGTTCCTGCATCTCTTACAACTGTAAGGGTTGCAGAGAAGAGTGTATGACCGATACATGGTTCATGAATTAAGGCCAGTCAGAAAATGGAATTTCTATTTGGAGAGGTGGATCAGTGTTGTCTTTGTAAGCGTTGTGAATGTTAAGTTTGTTTTTAATTGTAAATAACGCTACAGTATTACATAATACATCAATGTAGTTTTTAATGTCATTAAATGTTTTGTACTGACAGTAATGTTTGTTTTTATTCTTTACTGCCATAACTTCCATTACTACCTCTATTCACCACTCCTACATTCCAAGATTCACCACTCCTACATTCCAAGATTCACCACTCCTACATTCCAAGATTCACCACTCCAACATTCCAAGATTCACCACTCCTACATTCCAAGATTCACCACTCCTACATTCCAAGATTCACCACTCCTACATTCCAAGATTCACCACTCCTACATTCCAAGATTCACCACTCCTACATTCCAAGATTCACCACTCCTACATTCCAAGATTCACCACTCCTACATTCCAAGATTCACCACTCCTACATTCCAAGATTCACCACTCCTACATTCCAAGATTCACCACTCCTACATTCCAAGATTCACCACTCCTACATTCCAAGATTCACCACTCCTACATTCCAAGATTCACCACTCCTACATTCCAAGATTCACCACTCCTACATTCCAAGATTCACCACTCCTACATTCCAAGATTCACCACTCCTACATTCCAAGATTCACCACTCCTACATTCCAAGATTCACCACTCCTACATTCCAAGATTCACCACTCCTAAAAAACATTGTTCATTTTAGAGATCATCTTTATGTCACATTGGTCATGGCCATACGTGTTCTGATCTCCTCCTGAGTATGTATCTAAGAGTTTTTAGGCCAACAACACCCATTCTGTTTTCTGGTTGATGTAATGACGGGTGGCCCCTGCATGGTTTTTCTGCCTCCAATTGGTACACCCAGGGTATGCAGTCTATTCAGTGAAAAATCATTTTCCATGAAACCGAAAGCAACAGAGCATTCAGTCTCTCGTATGACATTGAGGATGTCTCTCCTGTCCATAGATGGCCTATTCCTGATAGTTGCACTGTCAGCCAGAGCGTCTGCTCTCTCATTGCATTTCACACCAGCATTTCCTGGGACAAAAATAAACGTGATTTTGGCAGTCATATAACAGCATGGTTCAACATAACATTTTTTTTTTCTTTACCTTTTCCTGGTGTATTCAACAAACTTAGAAACCAGTATACCATTGTTAGGTTCCAGTTTCCGGTTTCTCTTCATGGGTGAATTGTTTCTCTGACATAAACTTGTATTTTTTTTTTTTTTTTTTTTGGGAGGGGTTCCCCACTGAAGGTCATCTAAAATTCAAACAAAAAAAATTATTTAAAAAAAGCCCTGAACACAATTACTGTCAACTGACCACATAAATGTTGCCATACCACACTTGTCCACATACTGACACTGTGTCTACGCGCCGCTTCTGTTGGTTCATTATCTCTGATATACTGTTGTCTTTGCTAGCAAAGTTACCTGTGAACTTGTTTCGTGTGAATAATCTGAGACACTAAACCAAACACAGGCTTACTGTTTGAAAATAAATGTTCTTTGTTTGACTGACAAAATGATCGCTTCTCAAACTTTTAGCTAAGATTAATCAAAAGAACTCCACAGGGGAGCATGTACAGCAGGGGTCCACCGATCATCAGTAGAAAGATCCCTCGTCGACGATTGTTTCAGCCGGTGACCATTCCTATACAATTTCGGAAATGGGCCCACCTGGGTCATGAGGACTGGCTCTCGTGTTGGCCGTCATCCTAGCTTGGTCCACAATGTCCGCCAAGTGCATCATTCCTGGCCTAGGGCTTTTCTACACGAGGACAATACATGGTCGATCGTCTGTTTAGCTCTGCCCAGTGGGCATGTCGGGTCTGTAGTCGAATGTCACTTTACCATGTTGACGCCAGACCGTGACACATCGTACGCAGATCTTACGACAAAGCTCAGCCGCCGCGCCAGATCTCACCCCGAGTGAGTATTCGTGGCAAGGCGTTCTCGAGGCCGATCCCTGGCCTTGCTGCGACTTTTTGGACCGCAGTCTCGTTTTCGGCTTCCCTTGTCTGCGGTATTACCATGTCTCTGCGCTCTTTGGTTGTGGCTTTGGACCACCGACTGACTTTTCCGTGACCTAGACAACGTCGGTCTGTTTATGTGTACCCCACATGTGTACTCCTTTCAATTTTAGTGCATCTTGGGCAGATTCTATCGCATCTATGACCTTCAATTTCTTACCTGTCTTTATACAGGTATGCTTTTAATGCGTGTGTATGCTAGATATGCTGAGACAGCAGTCTGTCAATCTTTCCACAAGGGACTCTGATATTCACTCTGTGTGTTTTCCGTTGGCACAGGAGCGGAGCAACGATG